TTTTAGTGGGGAAGATGGTATAATCAAATATACTTTAGTAATTATTTGAAGAGAAGTTGGAAGTTGAGGGTATAGTGGCGAGATTTGATTTTGACCTTGAAATGTGGCAATGAATTACAGAGAAAGAACCAAGCAGAGAGACCACATGAAGGTAAAAGGCAACGTGTGGTAGTTAACTCTTCATAGGGCAGGAGAAGAATTCAAAGATCTCTCACCCCAGATTTCAAACCACAAAATATTCTAATTCTTTTGGTCCATAGGGCTGGAATCATGGCACAGGAACATGTTTAATGTGGAGACAGAAGCTCAACAGTTCTCTGAAAGATCAGAGAAGAGATGAAGCAGTTGTGACCTCACAGAACAGAGTAGGGACTGTGCAAAGCCTACCCATTGTGTTAAAGCTAAGGAAATATCACTAAAACTTCCTGAATGTCATGCCAAGTTTGAAAGTCTTCGTTTAAGATTACTCCCTATGTTGGGAGACGTACTTTACCATTGAAACTATGCCAATGACTATCATTGTTGGTGAAAATACTGCATTCCAGAGGTCGTCTGTGATCAGAAACTTTGCTTAACAAAGGTTGCAATAACATGGAAGCATTAGGTGTCATTGAGATGACTCGGGAAAGCAGTGCAGAGAAAAAATCCTATTCAATGTATATGCAAAATAACATTAAATGTGATTAAGTGCATAAAACATGCTGTGAAAGGCTGCAAAGCATCTGGAGCAGATGAAGTGAAGGGAGAAAATGAGGAAGAGAGAATTTGGCTATCTTAGCACAGACTGCTAAGTGGTAGTTTTAAACACTGGGTCTTTTTAACTTTATTTCTCATTAGCTATTGACTGGAAGTCCAAGAACAGGTTTCGTGAACTTGGTTTACAGTTATCTTTTCGTATCCATACATGGAGGTAATGTTTCTTTCCCCTTATAAAAACAATAATCTCACTCATGTTGACATCACATTAATGACCTAATTACTGCCCAAAAGATTCTACTTCCTAATACCATTACATTGGAGGTTAAAATTTCAACATGAATTTTGGAAGAACACATTTAGTCCATAAAAAAACACCATGACAGTTCCAACTATGGTCGAATCAAGAATTATCTGGAAGAAAGAGAATTTCTGGGGCTTCTTCTGATCACCGCACCAAACCTCCATTTCCATTCTCTTCAGAACAGTCAAAGTCCTCAAATCAACAAAGCACTTGACAACATAGTGGGTGATAAAGACAGTAGCTGGAAAGAAATAGAGATTTACATGTGCCATCCCCATCATACTCCCTGACCATCAGTGAATGATGGACTCTGCGTACCCAGGGTGTGTCAGGAAAAGGACTGTGTGTAGGTGACAGCTCACTGCACCTGGAGTTAAGTGCTAGAGTGGCAGGGTGAAATCACTCTGCTAAGGATTAGTTGTTGGAAGAAACCATTTAGAAAGGAAAATTCCTGCCAATTGATGTAAGAGATTTCCCCCTCATAATTAATACATGAATAGGGATAAAAGGAGCAAAAGAGGACATCAGACCGCACGCATTACATTCAGAAGGGCCACCCAACAGGCAAAGCTTTGGAATGCTAGATAACCAGGTCATCACAAAACAGGTGTGTACCCTGACTCCTGCATGGCATTTACACTCAAAACATTCATCTGGTTCCCATCCTGGTACCCCTCCGCATGGCATAGGTAGGGTTTCTACCACTTTGGTAGTAAGTTTCAATAAATGACAGCAAATGATATCATTTAGCTTCACCACAGTGATTTCCTGAGCCTCATCCTGGATAGAAAAGGAGAGGAAGCCATACCCTAGGGATGGGACTCAGGATCTTTCTGCTTTGTTCTATTCCCTTGGAACATCATCTTCACATTACAAGGTAAATCTACTCCACCGCCCTCCTTCACATCCGTTTACCTTCACGTGGTCTCTTTGCTTGGTTCTCTCTTTCACAAGGAAGGAATCAACTAAATTCCTCACTAACTATCCAGCTGTTTAAAGTAGGTATGCTGCTTTCCAGAAATAAACCGGACGCTTGGAACAATGTGGCTCACTTCTGTAGCAAGGACTTTTTTTTTTTTTTTTTCATTTGCAAACCATGGGCACTGATCCATGGGAAGTCTGCCACATAAATGCTGACTTTTGTTGTTTGTGAAACTAAGCTAATAATTAATAATTATAATAGGTACCAGCTACACCTTGAAGCACTTTTCATGTAGCAACTCAATTTAATTGCTCAATTCTGTGAACTTGGTATTATCATTCTCATCACATTCAGTTGAAAGATTGTGACACAAAATTGCTCAGATAACTTGTCCAAGACCACACAGCTGCTAGCAGAGCAGAGATACAAGTTAGTCTGGCTCCAGAGGCTATATTTGAAAACACTATATTAAACTGTTTCTCTAACATATTAGAAATAGTAACAGTTCTAGAGTCAAAAGAAACTCGTTTTGTTTCTTGGAGAAGGGGATTCAGCCATCTGAGCCCCAGTTTCCTTACTAGTAGTATTATAAGAATCACAGACAATTATAATTTTTAAATAAATCATCTATAAATTACAAATAAACATAAGGAATATTATATTAAACCCCATAGTGAATCTTTCTTGAAAAATTATTCTCAGCTAACATTTCATACATTCTCACTAATGTTTAGACACCAAAACATTTATATATGGCCATTATCTTCTGATTGTATATTTTATGCTAACTTTTTAAAATATAAAGAAACTTTTTTGAGGGTTTTTGCTTTGAAGAAAGTAATCATTCTTAGAAGTTTAGGAAGAATATCACTTCTTTTCCAAAAGATGATTTTCTAGACCTTTAAACTTGACCCTCAAAAGCATTGGGAAAATTGGAAGTGACATGGGAAAAAGAAAATGGACTATTTTAACTCATACACAAAAATTAACTCAAGATGGATTGAATGTGGGACCTGAAACCACATTAAACACTGAAAGAAAATAAGTGGTAAGATGCTTGACATCAGTCCTGGTTTTATGAATTTAATTCCAAAAGCAAAGACAACAAAAGCAAAATTAAGTGCAATAAGAAATTAAAAATTTGTGCACAGAAAAAGAAAACACTGACACAGTGAAAACGTTCTACTGAATGGGAAGAAAGATTTGTAAGTCATGTATCTGACCAAAGGCATATACATTCTATAACAAATATATATATATGTTTGTTTATATATATATATACACATATATATATACATACATGTATATATATTATTCAGAAGTGGGTAAAAGATTTAAATAGACATTTTTTCCAAACACATACAAATCATCAACTGCTACAACAAAATTTCAATACCAAAAATCACAGGGTGGATGCAAATTAAAACACAATGAAGTATCACCTCATACCTGGTGGAATAGCTACTATCCAAAAACAAAACAATAAATATTATCCAAGAATTTGTAGAAAAAGACATTCTGGGCCATTATTGTGGGAGTGTAGATTGGTGGAGTCACTGTGAAAAGTAACGTGGAGGTAACTCCCCGGGTCCGGCACTTTCTCTTCTGTGGATTTATCTAAAGGAAGTGGGATGTAGGGTAGTAAGATGAAGATGAAAGCCTTTCTGGTCTGTGGTTTTATTTTCTAAAAAGATGTGGGCATTAAACTAAATTTTGTCAAGTTTCTCCCATCTCTACTTGTTCTAAAAGTGAATAGAGACCCTCTGGGAGAAAGCAGTGGTTATTTTAAGAAAATAAAATCATGATTAATTTTTTTCCTACTTTTTGCTTTCTGATTTTTTTCAGTAATGAATATGTATTGCACGTGAAATAAAAAATGTTTACGAAAAACGGGAGAGAGACTAAACTGTCGTTGTGAGCAATGAGCTCAGTACCTATAGGTGTATCTTTCACCCTTCAGTAAGGGAAGTGGGAATGGACATTGTCCTACCCCTCCAGTGAATGACTAACTACTCTACCTTTGCCTAATTTCTTTTGGAAAAAATATGAAGGGAATCTTTCTGCCACTTTTCTGTGTTTACTGTCTAACTTCTTCTTTTTAAACCCGTGATGTCCATCTCTAACCATTATCGCTATATAGGAATGGATGTTTAAGAACATTTCTCTCTCGCTCGCTCCCTCTCGCTCTCGCTCTCGCTCTC